TTTTAGTACCATATAAAATAATAATGGCAATAATGGACATCCTTCTGTTACTCCTAATCTTATTAGAAAGTCCTCTAGCTAAAAAAATATATGCACACATACACATGGAGAAAGGATAAAGAGGATGGTTTTACATATGTATAAATATTCTAATATATATACATATATAAAACCTTTCTCTTCACCCTTTCTCATCCACTATGTATACGTTTATGTATATATGTAAATATACATATTTATTATATTTATGCATGTAGAAATATATACATATGTGTGTAGTGTGTGTGTGCATACACATTGTCTTTTAAATGTTTTATAAAATTCATTTGTAAGTTCATCTGGTCTTAGGTTTTTTACCCCTTAGGATTTCCTTTACAGTTTATTCAATTTCTTTTTTTCTGAGGCTGGATTATTGAAATTCTCTAGTTCTTATTCTGTTAATCTTGGTATTTTACATTTTCTTGAATATTCATCCATTTAATTTATTGATTTTGTTGGCATGTAACTGGCAAAAATTATTTCTAATAATTTCTTACATTGTGAATTCTCCTTTTTCATTTTTGGTATTGGCAATTTGGTTTTCTTTTCCCTTTCAAAATCAGACTAGCTAATGGTTTATCCATTTTATTAAAAAATATACCCTAATTTCATTTCTTAATTTCTTTTTTCAATTTGGTTAATCTTTTGTTAAATTTTCAGTTTGCTTATGTCTTGCTTCATGTTTAGAATTTCTATTTTGGTTTTACCTTGGGTTCTCTGATTTGTTGCCTTTTTTTTTTTAAGCTGTGTGCCTAATTCATTCATCTGTTCTTTCTCACTTTTGTTGATGAAAGGATTTGGAGTCATACATTTTCTTCTCAGGACTTCTTCGGTTAGATCCCACAAATTTTAGCATGCTGTTTCATTGTTTTCATTTTATTTTATAAAATTATTTATTGTTTCTATCTTTTTTGACTTGCCAATCTTTTAGAATTAAATTAATCTGCATTTAAATTTGAATCCTTTCTTCAAAGTTCTTTTATTGATGACAGTTGTTATTTTTTTTGTGGCCAGTAAAAGATGTGTTTGATAGTTCTGCTTTTCTGCATTTGCTTATGAGGTTTTTATATCCAAGAATATGGTTGATTTTTATAAAAGTGCCATTTACAGCTAAAAATTTATATCCTCCTTTCTATTCCCATTCAGTAATTAGCAGAGATTTATCATATTTAACTTTTTCTAAAGCACTTAATATACAATTAAATACTTATAAATTATTTATGTTATTTCACTGTCTTTTGTTGCCTCTCAGCATAATATAGTTTCCCTATTTATCTCTTTGAACCATATCTATTTTTACTGTTGCCTTGTCTGAGATCATGATTGCCATCCTTACTTTTTTGAGTTAGCCTGAAGGATAACGGGTTTTGCTCCAGCCTCTGTGTGAATCTTTAAGCTTCACATGTGTTTCCTGTAAACAAATGTTATATTCTGCTTTTGAATGTATTCTGCTACCTTCCTCCACTTTATGGGTGAATTAATACCATTCACATTTGCTGTAAATTCTACTCTGAATAGGATCCTCACTTTTCATGAAGGAATTGGTGACTAGGGATTAAATTCAATAATGACTAAATTCAATAATGGAAACATTGGGGAGAAGTAATAACTTTCTCCTAGAGTTTGTGATAGATGAAAGAAAATCTTGCCATAGTCTAATACAGAGCTTCTTAAACTGTGGGTTGCACCCCATATGAGGACGCATAATTGAACATGGGGGTCGCAAAAAATTTGGCAATAGTAAAACGTTCCTAAACATGCAACAACCGAAAATTAATTAAAAATCAAACACATAATGAATCCAAGGTGTTTCTGGCAGCGCTTGCCCACCTTGCATTGTGCAATTTCACTGCAGCCTTGGTTCTGAACACATAATATGTACACTTTGCACTCCACATGCCATCACGCTATGCAACGCCAACAAACACTGCCAGAAATACCTTGGCTCGGATTTGAGACTATCCTCTTTAATAAATGGCAAAATTATATGCATACCAAAGAATTGTTTAAAAATAAATTTTTTTAAGATTCATTATCAGCAAATGTTTGATTTATATACCTATTTTATATACCTTACTATTCAATTGAAACTCATATCTCCAAAGTCACCATCAATCTCTTCATTGCCAAGTCTAATGGCCTTTTCTCAATCCTCAACCTCCATTACTTCTCTGCAGCATGACACTACTGAATACTTTTTCCTGGATACTTCTACCTCTCTGGGCTTTAATGACATTGCTATCTCTTGGTTCTCCTAAGTGTCTGACCATTTTTTCTCGTTTCCTTTGGGGGATGCTTACAGTTAGTGGGTGTGATACAGATGAAGATTCCCACAATTGACTGAACTTTAAATATTTAGATGCTACCATTCAGTAACATGCTGGCTGAAATAGCCAGGAAAACCATAAAAACAGTGGAACTCAATGTACCTCTTTAAGACTTAAACAAAAAAGTTAAGGTCCTGAATAGAATTTTAGAAATGTTAGATATGATAGATCTCTAGTAATTGCCAAATGGGAATAGAAAGGACTAACTATATTTTTTAATCTATGCATGGCACCTTTATAAAAAGTGGCCTTCTATTAGGGCATAAATATCTCACAAACAAATGCAGAAAAAACAGAAATAATAAACACATTCTTTATTGACTACGATGCAATAGGAATTATATTCCACAAAGAGCCTTTAGAAGATAAAAGCTAATTACTAGATAATTTAATCCCAATGAAATTGTAGATCAAAGAATAAAATTTTGAAACAGACAATTTCATTTTAGAAATTATAATCATTAGACAACATACCAAAATTTTGGGATGCAGCCAAAGCAATCCTTAGGGGGAAATTCATATTGCAAAACACTATCAACAAAAGTAAGAATGAATAGTTCAATGAATTAGAAATGTAATTAAAAAACACTAAAAAAGCACATTTTTAAAAATCCCAACTAAACACCAAAGCTACTGCTATATTCCTATGATACCTACAACAGGGAAAGATAAAGCAGAAAAAGAAAACTAGAAACCAACATGATCTACTGAATATGGACACAAATGTATTCAATAAAAATTGTCAGCACAGAAGCTATAACAGCATGTTAAAACAAAACAAAACAACCATTCACTATGATGATGTTAGATTTATACCAGGAATACAGGTTGGTTTAAACAAGTATGTTGATCATGGTAAAAAATAATAACAATAAAGATCACATGATTTTATCAGTAGACACTGAAAAGGTTTTTGATAAAATGCAACACCCTTTTTGGCTAAAAATAGTAAAAATCATAGGCAATTAAGATGATTTGGCAATTAAGAGATTACTGGTAATGAGGAGTTTCGATTAAGCTGCAGCAAAGTTTTTGCTGTAGCAAAGAACTGTAGTTCAGATTTCGCTATAGTGAAGAACCAGAAACTAAGGGGGTACCCATCAAATAGAGAATGACTGAACAAATACAGCATACAAATGTAATGGAATATTATTAAGCTGTAAACATTGATGAAGATGAAAGATTCAGACTCAGGAAGCCTTGTATGAACTAATGTACAGTGAAATGACACGTATCAAGAGAATAATTTGCATAACAGAGTAAAGAAAAACAACTCTGAAAGACTTCCTAACTCTTAATTAATGCAGTGATCAATTAATTGTGACTTCAAAGGACTGATAATGAAGCATGCCTTCCACCTCTTGGCAGAGAGGTTATGGACTAGAAATGCAGCAAAATAAACAGATTTTGAGATACATGCAATGAGTATAAAGTTAAATTGTTTTTCTTGACTATATCTATTTGTTACAAGGAAGAGGGAGTTAGCGGGTAGCAAGAGAGATGTAAGAAATTAAAAGAGCATCAAGGAAACATTTCTTAAAATACACAAAAAGAAAAATAAGTTCACAGGGCGAGAAAAAGAGAGCAATTTTGTTACTACTCGGCTAATTTTTTTTTTCACAAAACAGTATGTATTACAATTTTATATGCAATGCTTGTGTGTGTGTTTGTGTGCGCACATGTGCGCTGAAAGGTTTGTGTTTGAGGATGATTGTTAATAATACAAAAAAATTTTGTTTAGAGAAGCAGAAGAGGTAAGCAACAACAGGAAGATTAAGCAGGTTAAGGCCTGTTTTAAGTCTAATATTTATTTTTCATTGTTATGAATCTATTTGCTGTTCAGATAAAGACAATCAGCAGCCCACATATGAACAACTCTTAAAGGTTAGGACTATGATTAAAAAAACATACATAAATATAAACTACCACTCCAGCCTATGCCAGTAGAGTACATCCCAGCCTAGCCAAAACCCTGACAAATTTTGAGGCTTCTTCCTCTGTGGCATGATCATATCTCCTATGATAACACTCAATATCCATTAACTTCTTTAGTAATCCCTAGGGTTGTTCTTCTGTTTCTTCTTCTTCTTCTTTTTTTTTTTTGGCTAGGCAATGGGGCTAAGTGACTTGCCCAGGGTCACACAGCTACTAAGTGTTATGTGTCTGAGGCCAGATTTGAACTCAGGTCCTCCTGACTCCAGGACCAGTGCTCTATCCACTGCGCCACCTACCTGCCCCTTCTGTTTCTAATAAGGCTGTTCCCATTCCCAATTAATCAATGGAAAACTGATTCTAGCATTTCTGGTTTACTCAAAAAAATCACATTTGTTACTCACAGCTCAATCTCATCTTTTCCCAAAACATATGGAAAAGTAGAAAATCCTTTTTTATATCCTGAATAAACTGAATAGTACTAAAGTAGTATCAATTAAGTACTAAAGTAATAACAATTTACCACAAAGAGTGTATCCAGGAAAAAATGGAAGCAGTTTGTCTATGTGGGATACTTCAGAGGAGCCATTTAAGGATTGTTTACACTTGTAAAACAGACAATAGAACAAACAAGTAAACTGGAATAAATAAGTGAGCCAGTGACAAAAGCGTAAGGTAGTCTTAGTAAGAAATTCTACAAACTCACAATACTTAAATTTTATTTTTAATTTTTAAAAATTCTAACTTTAAATATACAAATCAGGGTAACATGATTGGTAGGATGAGACCTAATAGCATAATGAAATAGTGCAGCATATACTCTTGTAAAAAAAAAAAAAAAAAAAAAAAAGATCACTACAAAGCCCCTTCTGAAATTTGCCTGAGGACTCTAAATTATAATGCCCTCTGTTGACATGTCACAAGAATGAGCATTACAAAAGGACAGTGAAAGTCTGAGATCTTTTTCCCAATAGCAATGACAAGACAAAGATGAACAGCAACTAACTACCCATCTTTGAATCCTTGGGATTTGCTGCTGCCTCTTCTCCCAACCGGTGAAGATACGACCTTAGTAGATGTACCCAACTCCTCGGGAAAGGCCAAGTTTCTTCCATAATCACTCAGCCATGTTGGCACTTAACTCCCTAAGCCCTTTTATCCCAAAGCTCTCAATATGAATTGTGAAAACAACACGGGAAAACTTCAGGCCACTTTTCCAGGTTTCAGACTGACTTAGGAAAAGGTGATGCATGCAAAGAGAACACCTGTATAGCTCAGCAGGTCCATCAATTTACGACCAGCCTTTGCAGTGGGATCTTTGATCCTTCACGGAGCGGGAAAAGGAGCTTCCACCAATGACCTAGCAGGTTGTTTCTGTCGAAACCCTTTCTTTGGTAGCTGATAACCTTGTTCTCAGATTTTAGGACAGTCCTTTGCCAGCCTTGAGCCCCTATCTATAAACAGATGTTAACATACCCTAAGTTCCTTCTCTAAACTATACAGTTTGGCCTTGAGGTCCTTCAGTTGTCCCTGGATCTTAACACTCCGTTTGTTGCTCTTACGAACCTCATTAAGAATGGCAAGATCTTGGTCGGGCCGAATACTGAGTGATGCCTACAGAATGAAGGAAATGGAAAAAAAAAAATACAGTTGTAGCATGAGGCAGACAAAAGAAGTCCAGGAGCAAAGACAAAGGCATACTAACCTCTTCAGTAGGGGAAAGACGTTATAATTAAACTCTTAACAAATATGATTATGCTGAAGAAGAAAGGAAGCCTGAGCAGAGAGGCTATGGACTTATTTTCCCAATAGAACAGGAACGGATCTTTTAAATGAAGACTAGGTAACTAATATCATGAAAAGAAAAACATTGTTGCTAAAGGCTCAAAGGACAGGGCTCTGCCTCCTCTATCTTCTCTACTCCTCATAATGCCTAGTATACTGTGCTAGAAACAATAGGCATTCTATAAATATTGATTACTAGTTACATTTGCTTTGAATTTCAGGAGGCTTTTGAGGAAGCTTAAGTAAAAAGTAAAGTTGTCTCTGGGAAAAATCTCTTCAGTCAAGTAATAAAAATGATTTACAAAATGAGGATGATGCCCAGAGTGAGAAGAAATGACATGTAGAATGCCTATAAAGTTATTCTTGATGAGGACTTATTAAAGATAATGCAAACTACAAATGGGATAGAGATAGGGACTAGATCTATGATTTCCTTGGTAAAGGAACGCCTGGATAAGTAACCTCCTTCTACCCAATGCAAGGTGGTACCTTAAAAGAAACTTCTCTTAAAGAGCTGCCTAGTACACTGACAGGTTAAGTAATTTGCCAGTATGTGTCAGAAAAAGGATTTGAACTTGGGTCATTCTGGTAGGCTCTCTATCCACCACTCCGTATTTCCTCTTAATTACAAATGACAGCCATTAGATGATTTCACTCTAGCATGCTCCTGTGTTTAAACTTTTCAATCTAGTTGGACTCCTGAGTAAAGGGGATCATGGGTACTCATGGTCACGCTGGGTTTTCAAATCAGCCTTTGCCCCCTTCCCAGATCCAAAGGCAGCAATTACCTTATAAAGCATTTGCTCGACTTCTCTCAATTTCTCACGCAGGGTTTTGATGTCTCTCTGAAAACCTTCCACTTCTAGCCGGCGACGATTCTGCAAGGTGTCATATCGATGCATCATCTCTTGCAAACGCTTCCCCATCTTGCTAGAACGTTCCTATGCAGAGGAAATCACCAGGTTACTTCTGGAAAACAAAGGATATCACCTCGGACAAAGGAAGCCACACAACCTACTGCATCGAAAAAGGCAGATGCTTTTCCTACCTTGAAGATCCTTCGCCTCATATCATCTTCTTCTCGAATTCGGGCCAGTTCCTCCTCTAGAGCAATACATTGTTCTTGGTACATGCACGACAATTTTTGTTCTTGAAGCAAGTCCTCTTTTAGGGACTACAGGCCAGGAAGAAAGAAGACCATAAATGCCCAGTTGCATGTAGCATGACGAAAAATTGGGAAAGGAAAGGAGAATTTTTAGGAATAAACATCAGTTCATGAAATCAGACAGTATGGAATCTCAGATAAGTAACTAAAATTTCCCACATTTACAGGTCAAATTCTGGAGACTTTTTATACTTAAAAATGAAACAAGTATCATTGGTTGGTTCTGGAAAGCCATTATATAATTGATTTCAAGACTGAGCTCATGAAATATTTTAAAGATAAAAAACTTTAAAGAGCTGTATTTCATAAGTAGATGCTCCCTCTACTGGAGTAAATTATAGGTTTTCTACAACTTAGTAGATGACTTTCAGGAGTTTCTATAGCTTTAAAACATTCATTACCCTGGGGCCTCAGACAATATATATAGACCCAGTCCATCTCAGAGGTTTTTTTCATTTGATAGGATTTATCAAAGTTTGAGGACTACTAGTATGAATACAGGACTGACTTTCACACTATAATGAGACATCAGAGTAGGACTTCTGTGGAGGGTGAACTGGAAGGAAACTTAGGAATTACTTAGTCTGACAACCGAATCTACTATTCTACATTGCCTCCTTTTGAAAGTACCAAACAATGAATAGAAATATACTACATAGATTGTCTATGTAAAGGGCCTCATTGTATTATAATATGTTTATATATGCGTGTGTGTGTATGTCTGTATGTATATGATACATAAAAATCACAGTTCTACCATAACATAACTGGACATATCTAAAACTACTATGTTGACTGAGAATCCTAGAACTAAATCTTACTCATCCAGTCTTTCTTTCTCTCTGGGTTTTTCCATCAAGTCCTGTGACTGTTCTAGGACAGTTGATGAGAACACAGGGGATAGAAGTTGCTTTGCTCCATGTCCTCCTGAACCTTTTTCAGATCAGCTCTGTTCTTCTCCCACCACAACCTCACTTAACTCTCTATATACACACATGCGCACACACACTCACACACACACACACACATATACACATTCTTTACAATCATTGTTCTACTCTCCACAAATCATCTCAATAATATTGAACGTTTCATACATTCCTTCTAATTTTAACAGAACCAGATTTTTCCCCGAGAACACCGCATCTTTTGCAAACTTCTTCAATGGAGCTCCTCCTCCTCTTCCCCAGGTTCACAGGGCCAAAAGAACAACAGGCTGGCATATTCCTTATTCCTTACTGCTGCTGCTGGTCTATTTCTCTACTATAATCCAAAGTACATTTTCTCCTTTAAAGTTCACACAACTTTTTTATATCAACTTTCCATACAAGTTTCATAAAAGTTCCATACTGGTCTCCAGGACACTCTTCCAACTTTCTCAGACTTTTAATTATTTTTAATACAGCAATCCAGTAAACACAAGGACAGATATTACTTAGGAAAGGACTCCATACTTAAAAACATCCACTAGAAAACTGTTAAGCAGTTAGGTGAAAAATAAATTTAGACCCATTCTTACACTATATACCATGATAATATTCTGGGGGAAAATCCATAAGCAAATCAGAAGCAGAAGAGATTTTTAAAGGACAAAATAGATCATTTCAAGTTTATCTTGGGTATTTGGCAAATAGTAAGATTGGTGACTTCACTTGTTGACTTATCAAATTCAGATGCTTTTCCACAGAAAACAAATCAATAATAAAAGAAATATTCTTGATTGCGAGAAAAAAAATCTTTGCATCAAATATCTATAAACTACATCCAAAATTTATAGGAAACTGACACAAAATGCATAATACTACAATTCATTTAACAACAGATAAGTGGGCAAAGAATATGAACAGGCAGTTTTCAAAAGAAGGGACACACACTCTCAACATCCAAATGAAAAATGCTTCAAATTCCTAATAAGACAATGCAAATTAAAAACAATACAGATATCAACTCATACCCATCAAACTGGCAGATAATAGAAGATGGAAATATTCAATGTCAGGAGGTCTTTGGAAGACGGGCATACTGACCCATTATTTGTGGAGCTATGAATTGGTCTAATCATTCTAGAAAAGAATAAGTAACTTTGCTCACATAATTCCAAAATCATTCATACTGATTAATGATCCTAATACTGTGTTTATATCCCAAGATCTCAATTGTTCTAAAATATTCAAAGCAGCACTATTTGTAGTACCAAAAAGCTATAAATAAATTGTATGTCCCATCAATTGGGGGATTGCTGAACAAACTGGAGTTGATAAATCTTAAGGAATATTACTGTGGCAGAAGTAAAGACTAATACAAAGAATTCAAATATATGTGGAAAACTTATATGAAGTGATACAGAATTTTTAAAAAAATCAGACCTAAAATTATTTTGTAAACTCAACAAAAATCTGAATAGAAGAAAAAATAAGATGATATAATTAGAACTATATATAGTTCTAAATAGTTTGTTACCTTTTACTTAAAAGTTTTATTTTTATATAGTTACAAGTCAACATGACTACTAATTTAATTTCACTTTCTTCACTTTTGCATTTTTTGTCTTTCCAAACTGCATTATATTCCTTATAAATGTCATGTTTGATAGTACAATATTCCATTTATAGACCATAGTTTGCTTAGCCATTTCCCAACTACTGGGCATAGAAACTCTTCCTAATTTTTCCCTATAACAAATTAAGCATCTTGGCTAGACAGTCTTTTAAAAAAAATTATATCTTAAGACATAGTTCTAATAGTAGAATTGCAAGATCAAAGGGAGTAATCAATAATTCTTATTATGCCGATGATTATTTTTTTCCTGATCTACATACAGGCCCTGTAGCCTGGCAGGAATGTCCCCCCACCCTACTCTCACCCCCCACCCCTTACCCCCTACCCCCTACCCCAGACTCAAAGGAATAAGGTAACAGAATGTGTTTCTAGCTGTAGTTTAGCAGGTTAAGTATGGACTTAAGATAAAACATTGAGATGGCCTGAATGTAGGCTGGATGGGATACAGACCATAATTTTCAGGGTCTCAAATACTCATGTTGAGTATCATGTTGAGTATATCAACATGACCATATAATTAATTCCATAACCTCTTCCATTTCAAAGGCCTCCTTCCTCCAGCCCCACTATAGTCCCACACTTATATGGTCACGTATTATCCTCATCATAACTGTACTCCCTCAAGGATTTTGAACTCTGAAATTTCACTCTCCAACCACAACTCCTCATCCTTTCTTCTGCCTTATTAAATATCTGTTAAACTGAAGTGATTAAGTTTTCATTGTCAACTTATTCCTTTTTTCCTCTAACTTCTTGACTCTGTCAATGCACCTGTCAATTTCAAATTTTCATACATTCTGATCTAAATTTTTGTTTTAAACAAACTAAGGTAAAAATTCTGATATTATATTTGTGTAAAACAAATTATCAAAAGTGCTTTTTAATCTTTATCAATTACCAAAATAATTTAGCATACTTCAAAATCTTTTTAGAAATGAGAACATTGTTATATTACCTCCTCTTGCCATTATCTACTCTTTGCATATATTTATTTCTTTCTCTTTTTTTTTTGCTTTTTGGTGAGGCACTTGGTGTTAAGTGACTTGCCCAGGGTCACATAGCTAGTATCAAGTGTCTGAGGCCAAATTTGAACTCAGGTCCTCCTGACTCCAAGGCTGGAGCTGTATCCACTGTGCCACCTAGCTGTCCCCATATATTTATTTCTTTTACTCTAGAAATACCATGCAACATTAACTGAATTTTATTGTTTGTTCCTGACCATTTTTTCCAAAGTTACATGATATTTTAATTTCTAAAATTATCTTTTAAGGGTTTTTCTACTCCTATTCCTCTATCTTGGTAACATCTTTAAATTCAATAAATATATTTTCTATTCTATCAGCCAAGTTATTAATGAAAATATTTGGATCATTATTAATAACCATGTGAAAGAATGCTTCAAGTCATTAATAGTAAAGGAAATACCTAGTGGTACCTCTACTAGGCTTATACAAAGAAAGCAAAGAAAGTGGAAAAGGACCCATATATATATTTATAGCAATATTTTTTGTTATAGCAAAGAGCTGGAAAAAAAGTAGATGTCCATCAATTAGAGAAGGACTGAACAAATTACAGTATATGAATAAAATGAAATATTATATATTATAAATGTTATATTATAAATATTATTAAAATGATGAAGGTAACAGATTATGAGAAGCTTAGAAAGGCTTATATGAATTGATATAGAATGAAGCAAGAAGAAACAGAAGAAAAATTTATATAATGATTACTATATTGTAAAGGAAAACAACTGATCACTGCAATGACTAATCATGATTCCAGAACACGGATGATGAATCATGTTTCCCATCTCTTGACCAAGAGTTAATAGATTAGAGGTACAGAAAGAGATTTATATTTTAAGACAAAATAAACAAAATAGTTGTATTTCATTTATTCTCAGAACAAATTCATTTTTAGTCTTACTGTTACTGATTCTAATATGAACTTTGTTTTCATTTTAAAAAGTGAAATGTATTTGAAGACATCAAATAATTTGAACCACTGCTTTGCAAATGACCCACAATTTGGAAAATTATGTTCTTCACTATTCTTACAAACTTCCTACATCAGCTCCCAGTCAAACTGATACACTCACATCAGAATATCATTTAAGTCCCCAACACTTAAAACTGATGACATCCCTTTACATTCTGAAAGGAGCTTCCTTCTCAAAATTTCTTAACATTCTCTCTTTCCCAGTTGTCTCTGAGGAAGAAGTAATCCTGTTCTCACTTACGCTACTTTTTCTGTCTGTGCACTTGATCCCATCTCCAGATATCCTTCTTTTTCAGAAGGGCAAAAATGGTGAAACAATGGTGGTGATAATGCCAGAGCCACTTCAAATTTCGAGGTAGCAAGGGAAGTTTCATTTTGGCAACACTTAGAGAATTCATAGTCTTAAGAACTATGTTTACTGATATGTGTGTGTTCTGTGTGAGTCTGTAATGTGTAGGTTGGGATAAGATTAGTAAAATAAGGAAAATTTCTCTTCTGAAAAAAAAATTTGATGACAGGTTATCAAATTTAGCAATTACAACTTTGAATGTTAATAAATTAAATTCATCTATAAAAAGAAAAAAGAACTACTGACTAAAATGTAACCTAATAATGTTACCTAAAGGTTCACACCACTATGTGTTCTCATTATATATGTATGTATGTGTGTATGCATGTGTACACACATGCCTATACATGCATATTTAAATATGTTATATCTATATCTATAATGGTTCAACTTTAGAATTCTGTCCTTATACTTTCTCTAACTACTGCTCACATAGTCATGAACCCAGACTTGGTTCTCTCTCTTATTGTGACCCTGACAGGCCCCAAACAAGTGCTACTGTTGCCTGTGCTAGGAGCTTATTTCCAACTAGATCCCAGCTGCAGGTTACAGGCAACTTGAAAAACTCTGCACAGACAAAATTAATGCACTTAAGATAAAAAGGGGAGAGGTCAAATGGAAAAAAATCTTTGTATCAAAATTCTCTGATGAGGATTTGGAATCCAAAATACATATACAACCACAATAATAATATAATAATAGCCATTCCCCAATAGATAAATGGACAAAAGTTATAAACAATTCTCAAAAGAATGGCAAAATATTCACAACCACAAGGAAAAATGCTCCAAATCACCAAAAATAAGACAAATACAAATCAAAACAACTGTGGGGTTTCATATTATATCCTGAAAATTGGCAAAGATAACAAAAAATGGCAATACTCAATGGTGGAGAGGTTTTAAAATTATAGGCATGCTAATACATTGCTGGTGGTGCCGTAAGATGGTGCTACCATGGAAAGCAATTTGGAATTATGCAAATAAAGTGACTAATATCTATACCCTTTGAACCAGAGACTCATTAATGAACTTATACCCCAAGGAACCTAATGACAAAAAGAAAGTGCTTATTTACACCAAATACTTATAGCAGCACTTTTTGTGACAGTAAAGAATTGGAAACAAAGTAGATGTCCATCAATTGGGGAATGACTTTGCGGTATATGGATATAATGGACTATTACTGTGCAATAAGAAATTATGTGTGTGATGAATACACAGAAGCCCGGAATGATCTACGTGAACTGATGGAGAATGAAGTATGCAGAGCCAAGAAAAAAATATATATATAGTAACTACAACCATGTAAGTAGAAAAAACACATACCAAAAAAAACCAAAAGTGAATGTAACAAAATTATAAAGATCAAGCAGGACTAGAAAGAGGAGGTGTGAGAAGACACCTCTAACCTACTCCCTCGTGGAGGTGGGAGGTCCACAGGTGTTACATATTGCACAAGTTTTTGGATGTTTTTCAATATATCAATTAGTTGCACTGTTACATCTCCCCCCTTTTTAAAAACACTGTTTGTTACTTGGGAAGGCTTTCCAGGAGTGGGAGGAGAAATACTAGGGATAATATAAGAAACAGAAGACATCGATAAAAACTTTAAAAAAAAAAAACAACACAAAAAAACAGCTGCATGGCTTCCCAGGTGCTGCCCTGGTCCTGGCTTTTCTGTATTTGGGTATGGGCTGCCCAGGCACTGCATGGTTTTGGAGGCTGCCTGGGAACCGATCTGATCTTGTTTTCTGCAGTGCCTAAGGCATGAAGTTGCTCCCCACCCGGTGCGGGGCACTAGCCTGGCCTTGTTTTAAGCTCAGGTGAGGTCAGGAGGAGAGACCTGCACTGAGCACTGTCGCTTTTAGAGGCTGGGGAACGAGTTACTCAGGCCACAAGTTGTACACGGGCCTGGATTTGCCTTAACACAGGTTGCCTGGTGCTAGGTACTGGTCTGGCTCTTTCCCTTGCTGTAGAATCTGAGGGCAGGTATATTTTTTTCCGCCCTCTTCCCTGGCTTATCTCTCTAAGAGTTTCTGCAGGATTCTGGTAATCTTGTCATGCAATCCCAGACTGCATGAAGGAGTTGTCAGCCGTTTCTCATTGGTTTTCTTTATCATTATTCCTTTTGGTGCATTTTTAGAGCTTTACTGGAGTGTTTATGAGGGATCGGGTGTCCTCTACGTCCTAATACAAAGCAATCTTCCCACAATTCTGGGGTAAGTGACCAGAAGTGTCATATCACTAGTTAGGTATCAGGTGGAACTTGAACTCAGGGCTTCCTGATTCCAAGCTCAGTTTACTATCCACTCTGCTACAACATTGCTTGAATAACCAAAATTTACCCTAATGCCATTTAAATACTGATAAAAACAGTAAGGATCAATACTTAAAGAGCCGTGGGAGAATCAAGAACAATACTGGCAATAGACTGCATTGGTAAAATCTTTTTGGAAAGCAATATGGCATTATATAATCAGTTATAAAACTATTCCTATCCTTTAACTCACTAAATCTACTACTAAGGCTATAGCCTAACGAAGTTGTTGACAAGAAGACTATCTACAAAAATACTCCTATCAGCATTATCTATAATGATCCCAAACTGTAAACGACACGTCCAAACATTAAAAGGATGACCAAACAATTCTATGAAAGTAGTGGATTATTACTGCACTGAAGGAATGGCAAATATGAAGAATGAAAACAAATATGGGAAGATTTATACAAAGTGATGCAAAATGAAAAAAGTTGAACCTCAACATCAATATACACACTAAATACAACTATATAAATAATAACAACAAAATCCAGAACAATATATCAGTTTCTTCATTTTGTAAAATAGAGATATAAATAGCACCTACCTCCCAGTGCTGTTGGGTGGATCAAATGAGAAAACACGGTAGAGAGCTTAGCACAGTGCCTGGCACATAGTAAGCGCAACATAGATGTTGGTAATGATGATGATTATTGGAAATGGAAACTAATAGAAAGGCTTTGTTCTTAGCTTAATAATCATATTGATTTCGTTGATGGTAACTAAGTTTATAATAAATAATTTTTTGAAAAAAGGAAAGAAAGTTTAGTGAGGTAAATTTAAGACAAAATAAAGTACTACTTCATACAGAAAACAACACATTAATTTTATTACTGTAAAAGAGGGTCCTAGGAAAAAATACAAATGAACGTGAAAAGGTGGAACATAATCTTTAAGGTTGATGCCAAGAAGTAGAACTATGTCTTCCCCTCAGTTTAGCAGAATTCCTAACACACAGTAAACACTTAATAAGTGTTTTTTCTTCATTTTCATTCCGTCATTCATCCACTGGGGCTACTATTGCCAATTTCTATGTTTACCATCACTGAGAGGCAGTGTTGCACAGTGGATGGAGAGCTGGCCTCAAAGCCAGGAAGACCCGGGTTCCAGTCTCACCTCTGACACATACTGGCTGTGTAACTTAGACTTTCAGTGCTCTTGGCAACTCCCTGAGCAATAAAAGTTGCGGAGAAGGTGCTGACCTCCCCTGGGAGTTTGCTATGCCAATCAAATCAAGGTCCAGTCCCTATTCTTACTGGCACTCAGACAATATCTCTTTTCTGAATTTTTTCAACGCTCCCCAAAAGTGCACACGTTCTACAAAAGGGGACTAATTCCACCAACTGAGCATAAAAACAGTTACCTGAATATATTTATCTTGCTCTTGTGTAGCTGGTAGGAGACTGCCAACTACCCGTTGCTCATTATACTGCAGTGCTTGCTCCAGCTGCTTTTGGTATTGGCTCAATTTCCAAAGCAAACGGTCCTTTTCAGTCACCCATTCCTTCTCTTTGTCTTGATTTTCAAATTTGAGATTCAGGAAGTCCTTGGCGCTCTCATAGAGAAACTCCTGAGTTTGTTGAAGACTGACAAAGGTATGAATGAGGAAGTAAGTTCCTTTCTCTATATGCTCCCATTTTACATCTGATACATAAGATGTGACTTCAAACTCAACAGGAACATTGTAGGCATTTTTGTTTAAGAACAGTAAGAACAATATCCTACCTTAGCAGTTTTTTTTAGTTTACAAAGTGCTTTTACACACATTTTTTGATTCCCATAATAGCTCTGTAAGGAAGCAGGGCAAGTACTATTCCCATTTCTTAAAGAAAATGAAGTTTGGGGAGGTTTAAATGACTGGCTGGCCCAAAGCCACATGTGGAGCTAGAATGAGACCTAGGTCTGATTCTTGGCCCAGTGCACTTCCCTTTCCATCACACTTCTATTAAGTAGGGTTTGAGTGCTCTGGAACATTGCATAGCAGCATCTCAGTTTCCTCAGCTGCGATGCCCATAATATAGGAACAGGGAAAATACAACGCATCTGCCAGTATATAGCAGGTCATAACAAAAACAAAATGAATTTCCTATTTCTCATATCAAGGGTCATAAAGAATATTTATACGTAACTGCTACAAGTATGCCAAGACTGGATTAAAAAGTCCTCAGGAACATTTAAAATTAAATTATATTATTGACCTCATTAAATCTGTCACTTTAAAATAAAATTTCTTATTCTTTTTTTTCTAGTCACCTACCCTTATGGTCTTTCCAACACTAAAACTGAGAGACAAAGGTGACGTAGAGAATCGAAGAAAGATATAGAAGTATATTATGGGACCAGTAACAGCTTTATAACAGTCAGAATGATGTTTGGCTAATTGCTCTTGTTTCGTCTAACAGTTTCCTCCTGTCACCTGATTTCAGCCAATAACAAATTAATGGCGAATAACTCCAGCTGGGCCCTTATTGCTGCTCAACAATCACTGTGCCCTATTCATCATTCCTTTCTCCCACTCCCACCTACAGTATTTGATTTAGCCCCCTATTTCACTACCAATCTTCTGGTTAAGACTCAAAACATGAGCTCCTTCCCTTCTCTCTGTTGCTACTCCTCAAAATTTTTCAGCATCATCACTCATGCCCTCTTCCTTCCTTCAGATTAAAGAGGTATCCTTATTGATGTGAATCACTCTACCCATACCCTTCATCCAGTTGCTCTCTACCTTTTCCAGCATCTTGTTCCAGTAATCAACCCTTCTCGTGCATTACTTTAATGATCATAAGTAGTACTTTACACTAGTATCATCCTGGTAAATCAACAGTTACTTTATATTCAAATATCAAAATTCATCCTGAAGCTGTCCTAGCAACTATCTTATGATCCTTCTAAGTCTCCAAAAAGATCATTTTTCTATCCATTGCTCCTCTTATGTGCTTACAGTTAGTGGGTTCTTTGTTCTTCTGGTTTTGCTTTGGTCACTCTGCATTATTTCATAAAGGTTTTCCCCTACTTCCTCATATTTTTGTGCCAATTTTAATTGCATTATAGTACCTAATAAATATACTATAATTTAACTATTCTTATTGTTGGGTACTTCAACTGCTTTTACATTTTTTTCCTAATTACAAATAATATTGCTACGCACATCTGAAGAGATAGTTGCTTTTTTAAAAGGCAACCAAAGTTATTTTAATTTGCATCTGTAAGATTGCGCAGGTTGACTATTTTTTCAAGAGATAATTAAGTGTCTTTCCTTTTTTGAAAATTATTTTTTCATATACTTTGACCATAATAGAATGGAAGGTCATAGCCTTTGTTAATTTTGAGGTTCTTTACATATCTTAAATGTCAGGGTTTTATCAGTCACATTTATCATATTCTTCTAATCTACTTTTTTTCTTATTAAGCACTTATGTTCCTGGCACCATTCTAAACACTTTATAAATATCTCATTTGATCTTCACAACAACCCTGGGAGACAGGTGCCATTATCATCCCCATTTTACAGTTGAGAAAACTGAGGCAGGCTTGACCAGAGTTACACACATAGTGTCTGAAGTTCAGTCTGCTCAGGTCTTGCCGACTCCAGGTCTAGCATTCTATCCATTGTGCCAGCTATGGAAAAGACAGCTTTTGTTGTTGTTCAATTGTGTCCAGCTCTTCGTGACCTCGTTTGAGGTTTCCCTGTCAAAGATACTAGAGTGGTTTGCCATTTCCTTCTCTAGCTCATTTTACAGATGAGGAAACTGAGGCAAATAGGATTAAGTGACTTGCCATCACACAGCTAGTAAAATTTCTGGGGCCAGATTTGAACTCAGGAAGATGAGTCTTCCTGGTTCCAAGCCCAGAGCTCTAGCCACTGTACTAACTAGTTGCACCCCCTTCCTAGATAGCTGCCTAGAAAGAATAAGGCTATATCTGTAGATCTGAGAATCATCAGCATAGTGATGATAATTGAATCCAGGGGAGCTGATGAGATCACTACGTGAAGCAGTATAGAGGGAGAAGAGAGCCTTGGGGAAGAATCACAGTTCCAGGAGAAGAGGGTGATCAACAGTGTTAAAGGCTGCACAGACGTCAAGGTTGAGTAGATTTAGCAATTGAGAGATCATTCTAACTTTGAAGAGAGTAGTTTCAGTTAATGATGAAATCAGATGCCAGACTTACAGAGAGTTAAGAAGAGAGTGAGAGGAAAGGAAGTAGAAGTGCCATTTTTAGATGGCCTTCTCAAGTTTAGCTGTGACAGAGAAGAGAAAGATGCTATTCAGGATGGATACATCAAATCAGGATTCTAAGAATGGGTACAACATGAGCACGCTTCTAAGTAGCAAGGAAGCAGCCTGTAGATGGAGCAATTGGAGATTCTTGAGAGGGAACTAATAGACCAATCAGCTGAGCAGACAACAAGAGGATCACTTGTGCACACTCAAGAATGTAAGACAAGGTGTTAGTTTTTTCAGTGAAATGTGAGGGAAGAGGTATCCTTATTAATGTGAATCACTCTACCCATACCCTTTATCCAGTTGCTCTCTACCTTTTCCAGCATCTTGTTCCAGCAATCAACCCTTCTCCTGCAGGAAAGGTTCTCAGCTGAGGGAGGTGGGGTATGCAACAAGAGGAAGTTTAGAAGAGATAAAAAGGTCTGGAAAACCTGCTGTGGTGATTGAATTGCTTATGGAAGTAAAAAAGGACTGCCGTGCCACAGAGAGGGCCCAGTTGGAATGATGTAACACAAATCCGTAGTAGACCCAGGCAGCATGGTTTCATGATTTTCTCCAGCTTTGTTCAAGCAGCATATAAGTAGACGCAAAGGCAGTAGCTGATAAGAGTACTCCGAGGCTAAAGGTTGGAAGGACAAGGTCAGCTATAAGAGGTGGCAAGAGAGAATGGAGACCTGAACTGAGAACGAACCAGTGATGGGGTGATAGTTTGGGAAAAAAGTGAGGGATAAAGGGACTGGAGGTCACAGTGGGGACAAAAATCAGGGGTAGGGGTTGTCAGGCAAAGGGAAAGGTGTAATGAGAAAAGATTATGGTCAGATAAAGGAATTTCAGAATCCATGAATGTGGAAGTAGAACACTTGCGGGTGATGGCAAGATCCAGGGTTTAACATTTCTGTGTGTAGCTGAGGTGCAGGGGAGGAGTAAGTCATGGGAATTAAGCTAGCTGAAGAAGTGGAAGTCAAGCGTTTGAGGACGTACCAATAAGTCTAGTATGAAGTCTAGTATGAAATCTAGTATGAAGGAAAGAAATACAGTGATCAACACACTAAACTCATTGAGGAAAGGAAAAGTGTTCTGAAAGTTGATAGCTACAAGCTATCAGAATCTTAATGGGATGATAAATACGGACTAAATGAACCTTAACGGAGGAGAGGTTTCTGAGTGAGAATGGTTGAGGGAGAGTCTGGAAGTGACAATGAGAAATAATACAGAACTTATATAAGGATAAGGTCCTCCTGACTCTGAGGTTAGTTCTCTATTGACTACATACCACTCTGAACTTCTATAACACTTCTAGTCTACCACACAATTTCGCACTTAATTTTATGCTCTTATACCATGTGCCAATTATTTCATCTAGCTTACTTTCCTCTCTCAACCAGACTATTAAGTTCCTTGAAGGCAGAGACCATGTTTTATACTACTTTTATGTGGTCCACTAGATTATTTTTAAGCTTTGAAAGTTTTTTTTTAAGCTCACAAATTTGTTTTTACATCACAAGGACCTCAACAAACTTACAATTCAATTCCCCATTCCACTAGATTTTTAAGAAGTTTGACCACTTCTGGGCACATAGCTACAGATTAATAGCACACAGCACACATAGCACAATAAATACATAGTAAGTCCTTTGAAATTTAGAAAAGGGTAGATATTGTACCTATCTTTAAAGAGAAAACCTTATAAGTTATAAATTGTTCAGCTTAGCACCAATACCTCAAAAAACACTCAAAGAAAACAATTTATAAACACTTACAAAAGTAGAAGATATAACAAAGCAATCAACATAGATCTGTGAAAAGCAAATCATGCAAAATTAGTTTCCTTTTGTAAGAAAGCAACAGGCCTAACAAAGAGAAAATTGATATCCTGATTTAAACAAGGCTTTTGATCACTTCACAATGGCATTCTCAACTACAATTTATCAAAGTATGATCTTAAAAACTGTGACTATTACTGTACAAGTGATTCAAGAGTGAAAAAAACCCTAGTAAGTTGCACCCTACAGAGATTAATCCTGGAATCTATTCTATTAAGTATCTTAGATAAACTATGGATAAACAAGATGAAGAAACTGAATATATTTAAACATGTAAGTGATGTCAAATTGAGGGTGGGTTAATACTCAAAAATTGAAATTAGATTCCAAATGACCATGACAAATTAGAAAAATAGTGACAAAAGCAATTGATATTCAAGATAACCATAGGGGCAGCTAGGTGGTGCAGTGGATAGAGCACCGGCCCTGGAGTCAGGAAGACCTGAGTTCAAATGTGGCCTCAGACAATTGACACTTACTAACTGTGTGACCCTGGGCAAGGCACTTAACCCCATTGCCTAGTAAAATAAAGATAACTGT